TGAAATCAGTGATAAAACATTATTGTAAACAGATAACTATAAAGCACAAATGAGTATTACAAAGACAGGTCATATGGTTGCATGCATTGCTGTACATTCAGTCGAATGGAGTATTCTGTTAGGTAGTGTATTTAAAAAATAATAAAGTTAGATTGGGTCCTAGGTTTAACATCTGTGTGATATAATTGTGAGTAACATATAGGATATACAATTTATAAGGTTCAGTTATTCAGTATTTATTTGGTTTTGAGTGAGTAAGTGATCTTTGAGAAGAGACTTGAATTTATAAACAGGTAGTGTTTCTTTTATATTTACAGGTAATTAATTCCAGATTTCAGGGCCTTTTATGTGCATTGAGTTTTTGCATAGCGTGAGATGGACACGAGGAACATCAAAGGATGAGGTTAATCATAGAATTGATGAAGGAAAAAAGGTGAGCGGTGCATTGAGGTATATGTGGAGACAAAGAACGTTATATATGGAGGCAAAGAAGGGAATGTATGAAAGTATAGTGGTACCAACACTGCTATATGAGTGTGAAGCTTGGGTGGTAAATGCAGCAGCGAGGAGACGGTTGGAGGCAGTGGAGATGTCCTGTCTAAGGCCAATGTCTGGTGTAAATATTATGCAGAAAATTCGGAGTGTGGAAACTGGGAAAAGGTGTAGAGTTAATAAAAGTATTAGTCAAGGGCAGAAGAGGGGTTGTTGAGGTGGTTTGGTCATTTAGAGAGAATGGATCAAAGTAGAATGATATGGAAAGCAAATAAATCTATAGGGAAGGAAGGTGGGGTAGGGTCGTCCTCGAAAGGGTTGGAGAGAGGGGGTACAGGAGTTTTGTGGGTGAGGGGCTTGGACTTCCAGCAGGCGTGCGTGATGCGTGTTAGATAGGAGTGAATGAAGACGAATGGTACTTGGGACCTGACGATCTATTGGAGTGTGAGCAGGGTAATATTTAGTGAAGGGATTCAGGGAAACCAGTTATTTTCATATAGTCGGACTTGAGTCCTGGAAATGGGAAGTACAATGCCTGCACTTTAAAGGAGGGGTTTGGGATATTGGCAGTTTGGAGGGATATGTTGTGAATCTTTATATGTATATACTTCTAAACTGTTGTATTTTGAGCACCTCTGCAAAAACAGTGATAATGTGTGAGTGTGGTGAAAGTGTTGAATGATGAAAGTATTTTCTTTTGGGAGATTTTCTTTCTTTTTAGGTCACCCTGCCTCGGTGGGAGATGGCCGACTTGTTGAAAAAAAATGTGCAATTCTAACAATTCTGATCATTTTAATCACAAACTCTGGAATCGATTCTGGAATCAATTTTGAGTGTATATTTCCAATTTCAAAATCAATTCGAGCGCTGCTGTGAACCAAGTGTGACCATGGCGAAATAGCGCACAAAATGCGTGCTAAAGGAATAACAGGAAAAGTCGGTCGATGGATCTATAATTTCCTCACAAACAGAACACAGAGAGTAGTCGTCAACAGAGTAAAGTCCGAGGCAGCTACGGTGAAAAGCTCTATTCCACAAGGCACAGTACTCGCTCTCATCTTGTTCCTCATCCTCATATCCGACATAGACAAGGATGTCAGCCACAGCACCGTGTCTTCCTTTGCAGATGACACCCGAATCTGCATGACAGTGTTTTCCATTGCAGACACTGCAAGGCTCCAGGCGGACATCAACCAAATCTTTCAGTGGGCTGCAGAAAACAATATGAAGTTCAATGATGAGAAATTTCAATTACTCCGATATGGTAAACACGAGGAAATTAAATCTTCATCAGAGTACAAAACAAATTCTGGCTACAAAATAGAGCGAAACACCAACGTCAAAGACCTGGGAGTGATCATGTCGGAGGATCTCACCTTCAAGGACCATAACATTTATCCAATCGCATCTGCTAGAAAAATGACAGGATGGATAATGAGAACCTTCAAACTAGGGAGGCCAAGCCCATGATGACGCTCTTCAGGTCACTTGTTCTATCTAGGCTGGAATATTGCTGCACACTAACAGCACCTTTCAAGGCAGGTGAAATTGCCGACCTAGAAAATGTACAGAGAACTTTCACGGTGCGCATAACGGAGATAAAACACCTCAATTACTGGGAGCGCTTGAGGTTCCTAAACCTGTATTCCCTGGAACGCAGGAGGGAGAGATACATGATTATATACACCTGGAAAATCCTAGAGGGACTAGTACCGAACTTTCACACGAAAATCACTCACTACGAAAGCAAAAGACTTGGCAGACGATGCACCATCCCCCCAATGAAAAGCAGGGGTGTCACTAGCACGTTAAGAGGCCATACAATAAGTGTCAGGGGCCCGAGACTGTTCAACTGCCTCCCAGCACACATAAGGGGGATTACCAACAGACCCCTGGCAGTCTTCAAGCTGGCACTGGACAAGCACCTAAAGTCGGTTCCTGACCAGCCGGGCTGTGGCTCGTACGTTGGTTTGCATGCAGCCAGCAGTAACAGCCTGGTTGATCAGGCTCTGATCCACCAGGAGGCCTGGTCACAGACCGGGCCGCGGGGGCGTTGACCCCCGGAACTCTCTCCAGGTAAACTCCAGGTGACACAGAGCTGTGACACACAATATTTATCACCTTTCTTAGGTGACACAGAGCTGTGACACACAATATTTATGACCTTTCTTAGGTGACACAGAGCTGTGACACACAATATTTATCCTTAGGTGACACAGAACTGTGACACACAATATTTATCACCTTTCTTAGGTGACACAGAGCTGTGACACACAATATTTATGACCTTTCTTAGGTGACACAGAGCTGTGACACACAATATTTATCCTTAGGTGACACAGAACTGTGACACACAATATTTATGACCTTTCTTAGGTGACACAGAGCTGTGACACACAATATTTATCCTTAGGTGACACAGAACTGTGACACACAATATTTATCACCTTTCTTAGGTGACACAGAGCTGTGACACACAATATTTATCACCTTTCTTAGGTGACACAGAGCTGTGACACACAATATTTATCCTTAGGTGACACAGAACTGTGACACACAATATTTATCACCTTTCTTAGGTGACACAGAGCTGTGACACACAATATTTATCACCTTTCTTAGGTGACACAGAGCTGTGACACAGAGTACATGAATTTCGTGGTACTTACCACGATATACAAGCAATTAGAGGTGCATGTTGCATGCAACACTTGCAACGAGATCATTGTGCAGCGCAACAGGAAAAGTTACGTTAATTTTGAGTATTGACAACGTGGAGGAAGTTCCTGCCTCACTAACGCCGCCTTTATCCTGCTCAAGGGCTCTCCATCCAAGGACTTGGAGATACCTCCTTTATCCTCACGTTAAATGACTCTCACCCATTACCCATAGATGCTGTGTGATGTATACGGGTTTAGTGCTTGTTACTGCTTAATAATAATAATACCAACAACAGTACCAATAATTATACCAATAATAATAATAATAATAATAATAATAATAATAATAATAATAATAATAATCAATGCTCAGCTTATTGAAATTATAATAGATAATAGATTATAATTCATAATATATAATAAATTATATAATATAATAGATTAAAATAGATAATAGATTGTAATAAATAGATTATAAATTATAACAGATTATAATTGATAATATACAATAAAAGATAATAGATTATAATATATAATATATTATAATATATATATTATATAATAACAGATTATAATAGATAATAGATTATAATGTATAGTAGATTATAAAAGATAATAGATTATAATAGATAATAGAGTATAATGTATAGTAGATTATAAAAGATAATAGATTATAATAGATAATAGATTATAATGTATAGTAGATTATAAAAGATAATAGATTATAATAGATAATAAATTATGATAGAAAATAGGTTATGTGGAAAATTGCATTTATCTGAATGTAACTAATTATGTACATAACAGTAAATGATAACAAAGATAATTATTATTTATCAATGTTACATAGACAAGTAGGAATTTGGGACACCTAGGTCATAAAAAATGTCCCCCTTCGATACCTACCACTATCATAACCACAAGTTGCTCTGGACCTATTAATTAAATGAAATATACATCACCAGGAATTCTGGTAAATATATAAATTTGTGGACTGTATATTAAAAAATGATTATATATAAACACAATTACATAACAGAAGGAAAATATATCTTAATATCACTCACCAATTTGACTGGATATTAAGTTGTATCATACTCAGAAAAACCTCACTAACTAAATTTATGAAAACACTGGCTAGAATTATACACAAATCTAGAGAGCTTATCTGAGGTTCCTGGAGCTGTCTTGTCCAGTCGTCTGATATCTCAAGTTATGCAGGAATGCATGTCCAACAATTTCGCCTCCTATTTGAGAGGTGTCAGCCCAATTTCAACCTCTAGAGCACGAAAATTCCTTCCCATCACACCAACGTTGTACACAATTCAAAACCAAGATGGCAGTCCCGTCTGTGCAGACGCAGGCTTTCCGTTTTCTATGACATAAATATTATTAAATACAGTATGGCCATCTATTTACATATAAATACTGAATTTCTGGAAAATATTCAGTATTTTCCACAAGTTATAATAGATTACAATAGATAATAGATTATAATGGATAATAGGCTATTATAAATAATATATAATAGATAATAGATAATGGTTTGTAATAGATAATATATTATAAAAGATAATGTATTATAATAATAGATTACTATAGATAATAGATCATATTAGATAATAAAGTATAACAGATAATAGATTATAATAGATAATAGATTATAATAGATAATATATTATAAGAGATAATAAATTATAATGGGCAATATATTATAAAAGTTAATAAAATACAATAGATATTAGATTATAATAAATAAAAGCTTGTGGTGTTGTTTATTGTACTAGTTCAGTGTGTTAGATTATGTGAGAAGCATTGTTTAGTGAGGCATATCTTAGTCTAGGAGAGTCTGCTGTTAAACTTGAATGCAACAAGTGTCTCCCAATATATGTAAAATGAAAATTTATTTTAATACCTGTTTAAGATATTAAAATATTCTCGACCGGTGGTGTGAAGACAGCATACAGCCTTAATAACCCTGGAGTAGTCAATAGGTTGTTAAATATAAGAAAGGGAGTGGTTGTTGACCGAGGTGGTGTTGTGAGGGTGTGGTGGCAGCCTGGGCCGTTGTTGCTGGTTCAAACACACTCGCCGCCACACTCTCTCACTTCAACTTATTTTACCACTTTTGTTCGTCTTTCCTGCTGCAATCTGCACTTTTTATTGCTCCAGCAACTACAGGTAAATCATTTACAGCTTTATATGTGTTTATGTAATGGGAATATTGATGTTTATAGACGTTATGGAGGTTATATATTACATCCACTGACCTTAATGGTTGTTAGTTTAATGTTTAGTGTTAGTGAGTATATTATTATCACTGCTTATATTACTTTAACTTTACCATCTTACACATTTACTGTGTTAAAATCACTGACGCAAATTATTTTGATTTAAATTAAACTATTGTAAACAAACTTATTCTTCAGTGTTTGTGGTTTAATAACATTTAAACTGACTTGTTAAGTAAATAAACTTTTTATTTGTCGACAATACATGGAAATGTATTAAATTTTGACTTCCATGGCGTTATCCCTGTCTAAATATACATTTATGCCTGAGACTCGACCACTGCCAACCACCTTACACCCTTAATAATCCAACAAAAAGCTGCTGTGAAGTTGATAACCAGCTCCTGGGCTAGACAACACACACCACCACTTTTCAAGAGACTCAACTTGCTAAATATACAAGACATACACTCTTATTATTGTGCCTTCTACATATACAGAACTTTAAACTCCACTGTAAACCCTCCCCTAAAACTACTCTTCGACAGTTACAACAGAATGTACAGTCACAATACAAGGCATAAGGCACTTTTTAACATCCCTCGAGTCACTCTCTCACTATACAAGAACGCTATGCACATAAAAGGCCCGAAGATCTGGAACTCGCTACCGGAACAGGTCGAGGATCTCCTGACAGTTTATAAATTTAGGACTTTGCTAAAAAATCATTTTCTCAGTATTTACCAAATCAACCAAAACATCTGCTAATTAGTTTTATTATGTGACCTCTAGGCTTTTAATTCTGCCAATCCATAAAATATTACCACCTGAATTGTTACTTGTAAGTTAGAATTTGTCCAATTGTCAAGATTATTTTACTGAACCCTACTCCACCTTACTACCTCACATTTGTATTAAGTTTAAATAAGATTTTAAAACATTTAACCACCACTACTTGTCTAGTTTGAAGTATAGTTACAATGTACTATTATCTAGTTTTAATTACTTACTATGTATTAGGATTACTCTGCCCAAAATGCCTCGGCATGATAGTGGCTATCTTTGTACTTAGCAAATCAGAATTGTAATTACACATTGTAACATTTACAAAGATAAACTTTACTAATGTCTGTCTGTAGTATTTATGCTTTTCAGATTTTTTTCTTCAACTTTGTATTACAGTATATGATCATTTATAGATTTCCTGAATAATACTTGTATTTGTTTCAGCAGTGTACATGCATGCAACATATTGGTAAAAATAAATGACTTTTATTCTGACCCTACAAGAGAGCTTTAATGCTGACTGATGCTTCACACATGTATGTAACATCAGAGTATTTTTATTTGTAGACATTTTGCCATCCATAGTTGGCAAAACATTATATACAAAAGGCTGAAGGACTGAGTACCTCATCTTTTGTATGTAATTTTAAATTCTTCATGTTGTCTTTGTATTGATAGTCGCTGGATGGCAAAATGTTTACGTGTTAGATACCTGGATGTTGCACAAGTGTCTAATTCTTCATCTTGTCAATATTATATACTATTCATATATGATACTCGATCCAAGAAACTGGTTATCCTCCCCTTAGCTTGAGCCAGATTACCTACCATTATGTAAGCACTGTATAACTTCAGTGGAATAAGATTAACATATTCTAACCCCCAGCAGGGCTTCAAGTGAAATCACTGACTCTTCTTAAATCAGTGTCAGAGTTTCCAGATTGCATGTTCAGGGACCTGTTACAATATAACCATAAGTTGAATAACATAATTTACAGTTGGGTTAGTGCTTGCTGATATCTTCACCAAATTTATGTATGGGAGAACTCTTCGCCAGAAGGAAACGATTAGATTTCTGATCAGTGACTTGGTAATGTTGGTGTAGATTTCCCGAGTGGTGATTATATATAAAGTAATTGCATGTAATTTTGTTTGTGTAGATAAATAGATGACTATGATTACCTATATCTTGAGAATAAAAAGGACGTATAAGTTCGTGTGTTACACACACAGTGAGCAAGTAATCTTTAAAGACAGCTTATAATACCTGTACAGCTACATAATGTTCCTCAATTGAAAAACTTGTATATTCCTCACTTTATCACTTCCTACATTATTTTTCCTTATTTTATTAGTGCTATCATCAGTGGCAGTAGGCTGATGAGGCAGTATCTGTACTTGTAATGCATTTCCCTTCAAAGGAGGTTCCGTAATACTAGTGAAAAGCTCTCGATCCAAAGAATTAAATCTTTCACTTCCTGGAATTGAATCTGACGCCTTTCTATTTCCCAGGCTCTGTATGACCTCTATGGTTTTAGTTCTCCCCCTTAATCCTTTCAGGGTCCAGAGGCCAAATTTCAAAGTGTGCACCAGGGTCCAAGAATTTTCAAAAAATAATTATTTTTTCTTGCAAAATGGTCTTTTTATGAAGGTAATAAAACAAAAAGTACGAAATTTGATGGAAAACTGACAATTATGTTCTCGTGAATTTTGATGTGTCAGCGATATTTATGCATCAGCGATTTTGCCGACTTTGACTCCCATTTTAGGCCAATTACATTATTCCAGTCAACCAAATTCTTAGCCATTTCACTAGTATCACTTATTCTATGGATTGAACACACGAAATCTCCATGTCAACTGTTTCAACTACAAAATAGTGATTGGAAATTGGTAATTTGGCCAATTTAATGCAAATTTCAAAATATTCTAATTTCAAAATAGGGTCCAGAATTAAAATACAGGCATTCCTGACACTAAACTAACATTTCTTCTGTACATTAGTTATGTTTTCAGGCTTTACAAATGAATTCCACTTTGATTTTTTATTCACATAATGAATTTTTTTTCAAACCAAAAAATAGAAGATTTACTGTTATGAAATATTGCAATAATTGAATAAATATCACCACATTTGTGAACGTACATTACTCACCAGCTGGCGTGTATTAAACGTGTGGTCATTTGTTCACTCTTGAACATTGGCAAAAATTGAACATTTTGGCTACTTTGAGCTCTGTTTCAAGCCATTTTCAGTACTAAAACCAATCAAAATCATCTCTATTTCTGTAATATATCTTCCATTCTATCAAATGAGACCAAGAAGTCTCAGATACAACTATAAAAAACATACGAAAAACACTGCAAAGTCACTGTTTTAATCGAAAATTATGCTCTCGGTTTTCTCTCTCATTATGCAATATGTGCTGCAGGATTTATTTTGTGGTGCACATATACCACATAGATGTATTCTCTCATATCTAGGCCCAAATTTACTGCTCACAGCTTATCAGAGTGAGCTGAGCTCATGGCGTAGATCTATGGTTTGGACCCTCAACGTAAAGCCGTAGATCTACGGTACGGACCCTGAAAGGGTTAATATCATGTGAAAATTTCATTGCCATTGTTAGACAGCCCAAGTAGCTGACTTAACCCAAGCCAGGTTTACTTCTTAGGAATAAGTTCTGATTATTCTAAACTTGCTTAAACTTGACACCTGATACCCCAAGTTCCCTATTAATAAGGTGTGTGGGGGATAATTTACAACTAAAAACTTAGACCCCCAATTACACCATCACCTAATACTTGCTGGAGACTTCAACATGAATCTTCTACAGGCTGAAGGCCCACAAGTGGCTGACTTCCTTAAGCTATACAATTTCTTGAGTGGATCCTCACTTGGCCATATGTGAACCAATATAATAGGTCCTCTGTGATGAGATATTGGCATATAACTGCATTACAGCAGTAAGCAACATTGGCTGGCACAAAGTTTACCGACAGTGTTGGGACACTGACAAGTGGGTCAGTGTTTTTCTACCAAAAAAAAAAAAAAAAAAAAATCCTCTACAATAGGCATTCTCCTACTAAAACTAAGCAGATCATGGCAGAAACTAAGTAGTCAAAGGCTAACAATTAGTATCCTCAATTTATTGCTGAAAAAACATAACTACAGTTTGAACAGTGGTGTAGATTGTGATTAATAACTTAGAATATACCAGTAACTATACAAGAATACTTACTAATCTAATAAGGAAGTCTAAACTATTTTATACTAGCAGGTTTAATGATATAAAAGGGGATATGACAGTTGTGGAATGTTGAAAGGATTCTTTCAGTGACTTAAGGTAGAAATGACTCTAAATACTTGGTCTGTTTTAGTAGTTATAGTATATTGCTGGAACAAGGTGAATAGCCTGGCCTTTAGCATGTCTGCCCCAGTCCTGGTTGGATATTAACCAATTGGCCTATGGCCAACTGATTGGCCTATTGCCCAGCCGGGTGGCTATTCAAGGGAAGTCGCGTGACCAGGGTGATGGAAACGTGCACACAAATCCCAGGCCATCAAAAATTAACCAAAACCAGAGATATTGTCCTAACTAAACTAAATGAACCTCATGTCCAGCCTGCTGAAACAGTATACTAAATATCTTTGCTGTAGGAATCATGCCTAGCAAACAGAATCTCAAGTTTCACTGCCCAAGCAACTATTTTGCTGGAAATTTTCAAGTCTTTAGCTAATCCACTGAAGTTACTTTGACAAATTCATTAAAAAAACAAGGCAGGTAACATAGCTAATTTACTACCATTATGCACAAAACGAGCAGCTCATGGGGTATCGCCCACCAATGCAATATTATTTAACAAATTAGAAACCAAAACTTTCCCAACAATGCTTAAGATAGTCAGGGTTACCCCAATACAGTGGACCCTTGGCTAATGATATTAATCCGTTCCTGAGAGCACTTCATTAGACAAAATTATCATTAGCTGAATTAATTTTCCCCACAAGAAATAATGGAAATCAAAATAATCTGTTCCTGACACCCCAAAGTATGAAAAAAAAAATTTTTTACCACATGAAATGTACATTTTCCTACACACAAAAAAAAGACATGCACAATTACTACTGTACTAAATAAAGAATACATGACACTTACCTTT